TATATATAGAAATACTTATGGATTAAAAGTTGTTCTTGATCTATGACAATCTAAACAGCCTAAACATACATACTTCTCCCACATGCTTACATTTAATACAAATTATAATATTCTATTGGGCACAATGGAACTTGCTCTCTAGAAAAGAGATCTCTAAACATTAGTGTTTCTCTAGATTTAAGATGCATGTCATTATTTGATTTAAGGAACTGGAGATTATAATGTACTCAGCAAATTTTGAACCATTACAAAAAAGCCTTGAAAAATATCTATGTTCATATTTGCTCAATCAACTCAGAAGGACTGAGGCCTTTAAAGGAATCATGCTGTACTGGTCCTGGTGGGGAAGCTCCTACATCCAGCGTTAGTACTAACATCCAGAGTCAGTACTAAACAAGAACATAAGGGGAGGGAGTTACAAGTGTCTACCACAAAAGGTAAGAGGCAACCCTGAGGTACAAGAAACTAGTTTGTACTTATGTTGTTCTCAAATTCAACAATTCAACTTAATGTCTTTCTGGAACATATACTGTATATAAATATATATATATTATATATAATATATATTTTTTTCCAAGTTTCCAACAGATATTTAGTCACATGAAAGCTGATACATACAGTATTTGCTTTCTTACCCCTAGCAATGACCATGAGATGAGCACATCCTTGTGGCAGACAATGAGACACTGTAGACATCAGCTCTAGTAATGGCCTTGAATGACCACTTCTGACATCTCTGTCTTTCTCCAAAATCCAGACGCTTACCACCTATCCCATCACCACCCTATGCAGTGCACCCACCGTGTACCGGCTGCTTGTGCAGAAAGACCTTAAGAGGTACCTGACAGAAATCTCCATTGGAACAAACCGAAGCAATCATCCAGCATCACAGATCCCAGAAAAGGGCAGCCCAGGGTTTCCTGGTCTCTCCACTATTGACATTTTGGACCAAATAATTCTGTTATGGGGGGGGGTCCTATGTTTTGTAGGATACTGAGCTGCACGACTAGATGCCAGTAGCATCTCCCTCTTTCCCTAATTTCTCCCTAATTTCCCTAATCAAAAATGTTCTGTGGGAGAAAAAATCATCTCCCAGTTTAAGAACCACTGGATTATCCTGTAGGGGGAATTGGACATTTTCTTGGAGACAACCAGAGATCTCCAGCTCTATAGACAATAATCAGAGCCCACTCAAAACATTTGTCCTTTAGTGTCACTCTTAAAATGAAACAAAATGTCAACAAAAACCCCCACTTATATTGTCTTGAAGAAAACTTAATGTATGACTTGAAGGTTATATTGAATTTAGCTAACTTACCTGCCCATCCTATAGAGCTTGGGTATTGCAATGTATAGAAAATTGTATGGTGCAATGTATATTTATGTAACTAATGCAAATTCAGTATATGAGAAGAGAAAGAAACAATTTAAGTCAGACAGGCTTATCCCACAAGGTAGGTAGGGGTGCCAGGAGAGAAAGTGCTATGAGAAATAGAAGTAAATATGAATTTCCTCTTTTCCTAGTCAATGTCAGCTCTTTGTGGTCCTCAAAATGTGAACATCCTACTCGCATTTCAAGAGTAATTCAAAGCTACTCAAGGGTTCTTCTGATCACACAAGATTTGCGTCCTACTGACACCCTCCTGCCCATTTGGGACCTGACTGTACGGGAGTCGGGCTTTCCCAGGGTTTCTTGCCTGAGTCTAGTAAGTGCAGCAGTTACAAAGCTCAAGCCCCAAAGTCAAACAGGCTGAGATTTGTTACTTAATAATTGTGTGGCCTCAGACACTCATGAGGACTTTGCTAAGCCTCCATGAACTCCACACATAGGAGAGATCAACCAACTTGTTTGGTGAGCTCAGTCTGCCAAGTGGAAGTGCACACCAGAGTACTCAACTTAGCCCTTGATTGTTTGGGAGGCCTTGGGCAAGTTCTTTCACTCAGACAGAGCTCAATTTCCTCATCTGTAAAATAGGGGATGCAAAGATTCTAAAGTCCTCTAAAGCCCTTACTTTTGCCTAATCAAGGTTAACTGTTATACTGTTTGTCTCTTCTAAGTACTTAGTATCATCATTAGCATTTTCTTCTGCCTTATTTTTCCTTTAATAGCCAAGTTCTCACCTGTCAGAATATGAGCTCATTTGGGAAACTTGTTTTCATCACTAACATGACCAGAACAACGTCTGGTGATATACTTGTGAAATGAACTATCCTAAGACTTGCTTGTTGCTTGAACGTCTTAATTATCTTGCAATGAAAACCACTCATATTTCTTACCCAAAGACCACACACAACTCTTTTCTCTCCAGATATAAATTCAAGAAGCTGAGGCACTGCTTGACTGGAGGGGAGCCACTCAACCCAGAGGTGCTGGAACAGTGGAAGGCGCAGACAGGGCTGGAGCTGTATGAGGGCTACGGACAGACAGAAGTGGTACATTTAAAGGGCAAAGTTGAGGGCTAGCAGAACTGTCCCTCGGGATATGAGGGAGATCGGTTCTGATACTCTAATCCTTGGATGCTCAAGTCCCTTACATAAAATATCATGGTATTTGCAGATAGCCTATGCATATCGACCTATAACTTCAAAGCATCTCTAGATTATTTCTATTACCTAATACAATGTAAACGCTAGCCAAATAGTTGTTGCACCATGGTGTTTAGAAATGATGACAAGAAAAAAATGCCTGTACTTGTTCAGTACAGATAACAATTTTTTTCTGTATATTTCTGATCTTCAGTTGGTTGAATCCAAGGATGCAGAACCTACAGATAGGAGCTCCTATCTGTGTACTGGGGCCTTTCAGCCCCGGGATTGTCAAGGAAGCCCCTAAAGTGTCCCCCATCATGTTATAAATTTTTATGGAGTCTCATAGAACACCTTACCTTGTCGGTGCTTATCAAAACTTGTGGATTATGCCACATGTGGTGGCACACACCTGTAGTCCTATCACTTGGGAGGCAGGAGGATCACTGCAAGTTCAAGGCCAGCCTGGGCTACACAGTGAGCTCAAGGACATAGTGAGTTCATAGTGAGCTCCTAAACTACACAGAGAGACTCTGATAAAAAACAAAAACCCCAAAACCTGTGGATTGCACAATGTGGTTTGGCTGAAGGGGAATTGTGATTACTCCATAGCCTTCCCACTTCCTCCTCACCCAGGAGAAATCTCAGGAGTATTAGGAGTTGGTGAGATTCAGAACTGAACTGCACAACTTTCCACTGCACTGGGGAGGACACCTGGGTGCCTCTGCAGGGGATCAATTCCCCAGTGCACATGATAGTCTAAAAGGAGTGCTTTTCAAACTGTGGTCCTCACACCAGCTGTATCAGAATCATCTGGGAATTTGGTGGAAATGCAAGTTCTCAGATCTCACTCCACACCTAGTGGATAAAAAAACTCTGGGATGAGGTCTAGAAATCTGTGTTTTAATAGGTGATTCTGATGCAGGCCAAGTTAGAGAACTACTGCTTTAAAATGTTTGAGATGAGCTCACATCCTGGGAAACTCAGTCAAGAACAAATCTTAAATTTCATTCTCATGATATAATTAGCTTCAAAAAATGAATTTTTACATACTTACATACATGTCTTCTCAACAGGGAGTAATTTGTGCCAACCAGAAAGGACAAGAAATTAAACCTGGCTCTATGGGGAAAGGAATGTTACCCTATGATGTCCAGGTGGGTTAAGAAAATATCTGAGTGGTTTCAATAAAGAAGGGAGAAGTGGGTGTGGTGGCACATGCCCGCAGTCCCAGCACTCTGGGAGGCCGAAGCAAGAGGATTCCAAGTTCAAGCCCAGCTTGTGTAACTTGGTGAGACCCTGTCTTGAAATAAAAAATGAAAGAGGCTGGAGATGTAGCTCAGTATGAAGGCCCTGGGTGAAATACCCAGTGCCAAAAAAGAATGGGGAGGGGTGCGTTTTACAGCTTTCGGCAATTTTTTTTTTTTTGTATCAGGGATTGAACTCAGGACCTTGCGCTTGCAAGGCAGATGCGGTGCCACTGAGCTAAATCCCCGGCCTAGCTTTCTGCAATTTATTATGCAACTATTCACAACCCATTTTTATTTTGTGGAAAGTTTAAGAATCTAAATTGTTTCCTTCTAGGTTATAGATGAAAAAGGGGATATCCTACCACCCGGCAAAGAAGGGGATATTGCTGTCAGACTAAAGTCTACCTGGCCTTTTTGTTTCTTCTCCCAATATGTGGTATGAAAATATAGAAACTGCTAGCATACTTTAGTCCAGATATGAGTCTGAATTTCATGCCTACTGTGACTTGCTATGTATAAACCAGGGCAAGTGACAGAAACCTGGGTCATTTCATCAACTGTGAAATGAGGAGAATAATATCTACCTTCCAAGCATATTGTGAAGATAAACACCTCAAGTAAGAAACTGATTGTGGTGCTGTTCTCAGAAAGGACAGGGTAGGAGAAGGAGGAAAGGCATGGAGGATATTGGAAGTAGAAGAGAGGTTTAGTTTTATAATACTCTCCTATACCTGTTTGTATTTTAGGCTAGGAACTAGCTTAACTTAAAGTTAACTTCAGCAAAGTGCGGTGGTGCATAACTGTGATCCCAGCACTTGGGAGGCTGAGGCAGGAGGATGGCCACAAGTTGGAGGCCAGCCTGGGCTACATAGTGAGTTAAAGGCCAGCCTGAACTACACAGTGAGATCCTGTCTAAAACAAAAACAAAAACTTCATTTAGAAGTAAGATGTTGCAATGTTCCAGTCACTTACTGGATACCAGACCCCATCTCTGCTCTGTCCAAACTAATTTCCAAATATCACCCTCAATTCCTAGGACAATCCAGAGAAAACTGCTGCTGTGATAAGAGGAAACTTTTATGTCACTGGGGACAGAGGCCTAATGGACAGTGATGGGTATTTCTGGTTTGTCGGCAGAGCTGATGATGTCATTATATCCTCCGGGTTTGTATATGTGCCACTCCTAGAAAGCAGGGCCTTGGCAGGGAGGGAGACCCCTACAAGAAGAGTGTAGTGAGCAGTCTGCTCCTCCTCTGCAGGTACCGTATTGGGCCCTTTGAAGTGGAGAGCGCACTCATTGAGCACCCAGCAGTTGTTGAATCAGCTGTTGTCAGTAGTCCAGATCCAATCCGAGGAGAGGTAAGTTGAACACTGCTAAGCAAAGCAGCAAATTCCTATTTTCAAGTTCTATTTGACCACTGTAAAGACTAAATCAAGAGTACAGTAGTCATTTCATTTCATTGTGAGTCACACATGGCAAAAATGCAGACCAGAAAATCAACTTTACAAATGCATTGTGCCCCAGAGAGGACTGGGATTCTTTTGGTGGTAAGTGACAAAAACTCATTTCAAATTGACTTGTTATAAAAAATAAAATAAAATAAAATGTTGGGCTCATATAACTGAGAGGTATTCAGGTATCTATATCCAAGTGTTCATGTGGAGTTAGCATCCCTTAGTCTCTCTCCATGTTTGGCTCTGCTATTCTGTCGACTCCATCTGAGCAAGTTCTTCCTACTAGATAGCAACCAACTCCACACTCACACAAGGGAAGGAAACAGCTGACTTTCCAAGGGTTCTGCGGCACTCCCAGGGTCTCCTCCACCTATGTTAGGTCACATCTCTAGCCAAAGTGGCCCAGGGAATAGTACAGGTGACTGGCCAGACCTGGATCATATTTCTGTCCTCAAAGGTAAGGCTTGGTGTCAACCCCACCACAGAGAAGTTAGGGTAACACTGCACAGGAAACTCAGAGTACTGTTACCAGAAAGTAGGAACAGATACTGCATTAAGCATCAGATTTCACTGTCTGTACAACTGTCATGGATGGACAGGATACATTTCCTCACAGAAACAATGCAAACAAAAGATTGTGGCCAGGTTCCCAGATAAGTCCCACAAGCTTCCTAATTAGGATCTAATGACAGTGTTACTCAGGCAATATCAACAGCCTGGATTCTAGGAGGAAACTACACTAAGAGAGATCCATTTTCTTCATGGAAGTTCCCTATAGACTCAGCAAGCAGAAAAATCTCAATATTGTGTATATCAATCCCCTCCCACATCTCCTTCTGTGCCTTTCTCACATACTCTCTGTAGGGACACTGGATCTCATACGCTTACCTCCTGTACCCCCTTGATTTTCCATGTAACTCCACTCTCCAAAATATTCTCCTTCTGCCACATTTTCATTCTCTCCATATAGCTGATTTCAATAGAACACCAGAAGTAAACACCAATTGGAATCAATGTATGAATAATCAATCATTTAAACTATGCTTACTAACCTCAGTAATTATCTAATTGCTTTAACCAGTACTACAAAGAAAAGGAAAAACTGAGAAGCAAGAAAAGACCCTTTGAGATAGATCAGTCCTTCCTAATGCACCATTCTTCCTCCATTAGGCCTTCCCAAACCCCCTTCCAACCACACTCTCCTGAACTTCCATCTCTCCTGCTACCACATGCTTCCTCACACAGTATAGGCTGGATGGTGTATATAGTCATCTGCCAATCAGACTGCCTGAATAAACAGAATCACTGTTAAATGTGTGACATGTGAAGAGCTCAGCCATGAAAGAATCACTGTACTCCTCACATTTATAACCCATTTATTTACCTGGAAAGAGATCCCCCAAATCTCACTTTGTCATTGTAGTATCTGAGCTGTGTTCAGAGGGGATCCTGGCACTTGTAGTCACCACTCAAGCTGCTGTTAATAGTGCCTTTATTCAGCAATGTTTCCAAACTCTTGATGTGTCTGCAAAACAAACATAGCGATACAAATGGACTTTTTTTGCTGCAGGTGGTAAAAGCTTTTGTTGTCTTGTCTGCACCCTACAAATCATGGAACCCTGAGAAATTAACTCTTGAGCTTCAGGATCATGTGAAAAAATCAACTGCCCCTTACAAATACCCAAGAAAGGCAAGTATAAGCTAGGTTTGTGCAGCATGTAAGTTCTAACTAGGTTCTAATGTAGCTTTTATTGGATTTTGACTTTATAGTGGCTCAGTATGTAGGTAGAAGATATCTTTTCAGTTTGTCTAGCCAAGAATTTTGTTTTAAAATGTTTTATATTTGGGCACTAAGAATGCTTAATAAATGAATTTTTTAAAATCAACTCTGCAACACTGAGTAACTGCTAAGAATATAGAATTAGTCCCATTCCATATAGGGACAAGAAATGTTGGCAAAATATTGTGCTTTATTTTTAGGGACAGCATCTGATTTTTAGCCCTCTGGGGCATGTAATATCCCTATAAATTAAAAAACATATGTCTTTAAGTGTCAAGTGGCCTCATTTATGGCTTGGAAGAAGATACTATCCAAAGAAAATACAGTATCTTTCCTGAAACCTTCAAATAAGGATTTAAAAGCAATTCTAGGCCAGGGATTTAGCTCAGTAGCACAGTGCCTGCCTCGAGAGCGCAAGGTCCTGAGTTCCATCCCCGGTACCAAAAAAAAAAAAAAAAAGTAAAAGCAATTCTAAACACAGAGATTACACTGCAATTTCCTTCTATCTCTGGAGTCCTATTGGTTGATAGTGACTAATCTATAAGACAATTCCATTTCATTTGCTATCATTTCAGTCAGAAGGTAGCTAATTTCAACCTAAGAATTAAATCATCTAAACTTTTTTCTCCATTAAACAAAATCAGTAATCCTTTGATTTTCAGAAAGAAGGTCTGAGGGCATTTAAAAATACAGTGTCAGAGCTGGGGATTTAGCTCAGTGGTTCCAGCGCCTGCCTTGCAAGCGCAAGTTCCCGAGTTCGAAACCGGTACCCCCCCCCAAATACAGTGCCAGCTTGATAGAGGGCAACAAAGACAGGATCTTATGGTCACGTCAGAGCGTAAGAGGAAATTGTAGGCACTCCCAAATCATCACTAACATACTTTCTTCCGAATCTGCAAGACCCCTCATTCATTGATTTGTTCATTTATTCATGCTTGAAATTGTTATCCTTTTGCTTCAGCCTTTTAAAGAGCTGGGATTACAGGTGTGCACCACCACACCCAGCTGCAGCACCCATACCAAGTTTTTTTCTTTTTGGATTTAAGTGTAAACCTCCATTCCCCAGAGGGCAGTCTAGACAGGGAAACGCAGAGATAAAAAGGGATTCTTTTCTTTTGGCAGAGCCTGTGAGTAAATTTGCACTAAAAACTACTAGGATGGAACTATACTGTCATTCTTACTATATGAACTGACCAAATTTCTTGTGCCCAGTAGATTCAATGAACTTAGGCTAAGAACAATGTCCACATATAAAATTCAGAATTTCATGAGAGTTCTTTATTTCTTTGACAGTTGGGATGTTAAAATGGAACCAAGTGTCTCACTGTATTTTTTTTTTTTCTCTTTTTGTCAATTAGGTGGAATTTGTTCAAGAACTCCCAAAGACAATCACTGGGAAAATTAAGCGCAACCTTTTAAGAGATCAAGAATGGGGACGAATAAAGCTTCAAAACTGAGAAATTAAATCGCAATATGGTTGCTTTCTTTTAGCACTTGCTTCCTGACAATTCAATGACTACTTTCTTAAAATGTTAAAGATTTTTTTCGGGTTGAAAATTTGAGTTTGTTTTCCACTTAGCCAAAAATTTAAAAATAAAGCCTAAACATACTTGAGAGTACTGTTATAATGACCAAACCTACAAAGATAATTATTTATAGTGTTTAAAGCAGAATGACTACTTAAAAAAGGAAAGTATACAACAGATCTATGTTTCATTCACCTTGTCTCAAATAATATAAAATAAAGATAAGAACTATTCTAAGAGAAATGTTCCACAGAATTTTTTCTGTTTAACATCTTTATGATCTCAATACTTTTTGTTTGTAATTTGTTTTTTGAGACAGGGTTTCGCTATGTAATTCAGGCTGGCCTTGAACTATGTAGCCCAGGCTCGCCTCGAACTCAGAGCAATCCTACCTCAGCCTCTCAAGTGCTGGGATTACAGGCATGCACCACCACGCCCGTCCTTCAATACTTTAAAGTAGCTAAAGATGAGGAATATAACTACTGTAACTGAAAGGCCAGTGAGTGAATTTAATGAAATTAACTTCTGTATTGTTGTTCCTCGTTTTGGACCAAACCCTGTAAAATACCAGAAAACCTGGATTATTTAGGAATATTAATTATTCAAGAGCAATTAATAAATTTTTTATAGCTTTACTTTTTAGGATCACATACATGACCTTTTTTGATCCATAATTTGACATACAAACATTTTTAATGATACATATACTGTAAAGCAAGAGATCTACTAAGAGGCAGAAAGAAAAAGTACAGAACATCAATCTTTAGGGAACAACTTTATTTTGATTTTTCTGAAAATATCAGGAGCTATAAAAAACAAGCGGAATATCTGGCTATACCAAAAGCAAAACACAAGTAAAAATAACACTTGAAAACCGTGTTAGAAACATGTTTTGAAACATGAAGTTTAACCCTTTTCTCTTTAGAGCAAAACAAGTCATAAATCATAACACAAGTTGTTTAACTGCTACAATTTTAATTAAAACATTGAAAGAACGAAAGGTACCCAATTTCCACCCTCTCTCATCATTTATAAAATATGATCAAATGTCAGTGAAAATAAACAGCTGATACATTCAAAAGCAAATCTTTTAATGAGTAAATGAAGATTTTAACAAAGCATAGTACTTATGTTGGGAAAAATAGCTTGTGTCACACTCAGATCTTACCACATACAAATATTTACAAATGGCAAGAAAAATAATAAAATCAAAATCTTTCTGTAGAGTAGAAAGAAATCCAGTTATGACAAACTTCTTCCCAGAGTCCCCTTGTCTTGCACTATCAAAATAAAGTATCTGTCTTAGAGCATGTCTGAAGAAGGCACCAAGATCCATCCTGTCCTCCCAAAGGAGACTAATTACTACTCTTACCCTTTCAATATGACTTCAGCATCATTAAGAGTCAACATTCCGGGGTGGGTGCAGTAGCACACACCTGTAATCACATCTACTTGGGAGTCTGAGGCAAGAGTATCACAAGTTCAAGGCCAGCCTGGGCAATTTAGTGAGTCTCAGAATAAAAAATAAAAAGCGAGAGATGTGGTTCAGTGGTGCAGTGCTTGCCTAGCATGCACAAAGCTCTGAGTTCATCCCCACAAAAAGAATTAACATTTAAATACCTGAAGATACCCAAGAAAGTACCAGTCCCATGTACATTAGCAAGGTCCTATGTATTTTCTGCCCCCCCCCATCCTTCTAGCCTGGTTTATCAGAGGCCCTCGATGAGAGTAGAAATGTTCGTATTCACTAGCCATTAAACTGATACAGCCACTTCAGCAGGAAGCCTTAACATCTGTACTGCTTCCTAACTTTTTAAAATTAAAGCACAGGGCCGGGGATGTAGCTCAGTGGCACCACACCTGCCTCACAAGCACAAGGTTCTGAGTTTGATCCCCAGCACCAAAACAAAAAAACAACAAAAATTTAAGCATAAACCCATCTCCAAATATTCTCATTCTAGAGTCAATCTCTTCCTACCTTTCTCAATCACTTTACCTGGGAGGAATCCTTACAAACACTTTTAAATTTAGGGAAGCCCTCATAGTGAGTGTGAACACTCAGCTGAAATTTCACAGAAATCCAGAACTGTCAGCTAGAGTGAAGTTTTCTTTCAGAGAGGAGAGGGAAATTCTACTTAATTTGGCCTTGCATTTCTTCCAGGTAGGTTTCTGTAAGCCTTGAGACTTCTGTATTCTTCATTCTCTCTTGTTTTTTGTTTTTTAGACAGTCTTGTTATGTAGTTCAGGCTGGCCTCGAACTACGCAGTTCAGACTGGCCTCTCGCAGCCATCCTCTTGCTGTATTCTTCATTCTCATATGGAAATTACTGCAGAAAACATTTTAAGAGTCCCACTGTTGGGCTGGGGATTTAGCTCAGTGGTTCCACCATCTGCTCCACAAGCAAAAGGACCCGAATTTGATCCCCAGTACCAAAAACAAAAACAAAAACAAAAAAAAAAGAGTCCCACTGTCAACTCTTAAAATGAATTTTTCAGAGTCAGCTTTCTTCTAAGATTCTTATCACTTTCAGGAAAAAAAAGCTTTTTCTCTAGAATCTTGCAGAAACTTGTTCATTTATACAAGTTGGCAATGTCTGCTAAACAGGCAGACATTCTAAACAGTTCCTGTGGCCACTCTTCATTTTCAAAGCACTCAGCAAGACCCACTGTTTCCATGTAAGTACCCCGACAATTCACCTTTCTACTCAAATACACTCCAAGGACGCTTCCTCTGAGAAATCACTAGGTCTCTGTATATAGCAAGAGGTTTATTGCTCTTTGGCCAGGTTTTAATCAGGGGATTTTTTTTTTTAATAATGTGGCATAAACAGGTCTTCACTGAAGTTAACCACTTCTGTAGCATTTTTTTGAACTTTCCTTATTTCATCTCCAATTTTTGGTATCAGTATCTCTGTGAAAACAACCAGTGTGCTATAATGTCAACATCAGGATTTCTTTTCTTTTTAGTGTGGAAGAACTGTCACATAGCCAACCACTAATGGAATACCAGGAGTATAGCTGACAGACATTTGCTTTTCAGGTATGAACACACAAATTTAAATACATATTGGTCTTGGTTTTGTGAGACTCATTGCAGCAGAAGATACTGTTTTAATTCTACCATCATTTACAAATCTGACAAGTGTTACAGAATAAAAAATATTCATGAAATTTGTTGATGTATTAACCCAGATAAGAAGGCTGCTGCTTCCTAATTACACAAAGCCTCTCCTTAATATGTGATGCATCCTTAGTAAATCGACTTAATACAGTGAGAGTAAAGTGATTTCAATTTCTCGTACTTGTTCCAGCATTTTAATGTTGGTATTAAAGTTTCATTAACTATGTACATTTTTCTTTGCTGGGATCTGCTACCAAATAATTTGCTTCCTAAACCTTTTCACCGAATGGGATTTTTTTTAAACAAAAGCTTTATTCTGTTTTGATATTCAAAAAGCTATTTAAAGTAATCAACATCCTTGTCAAACAACTGTGATTTAGTTGCAAGCCACAGACAAAGCACAATGAATAGGACAACTCTGATTAAGAGCGCATATAAAACCTGTGAGAAGTAGCTTTCACTGAAGACAGAATTGCTTCATATCTCTTGCTGTACTAGTACTGTATATAGCAATAACTCAGAAGATTGTAATTCTTCATCACTAACCTTACCAAAAATGTCCATAGGTCTATGCCTAGAATGATCTATTTCTATCTCCCACCTTGGCTTCAAAAATTGCAGCAATGGATTATCATATTTGCTCATAACAAACATTAATGAAATATATACAGACATAACGAAAGAAGAGAAACACAAAAGTACAAAACCATCACAAAACAATTCACTTCCAGCCTACATAATCCACATTTCTGCAACGTTTACAACAAAGTGGCAGGAGACAGCTGAGCTGTGGCACCTAAAATTTTGTTCTTTCCTTAGAATGCAAATGTCCCTCTGCTTTTCTACTTCTCAGAGTTCAGAGCTTCTTGTAAGTTGGCTGGCACAGCACAAGGAGCAGGTGAGGAAGGTCATCAGGAAGGACAGGCAACATCGCCCTCCTACCAGCCTCCCCTGTGACAGCACACGTACACGCACGCACGCACGCACGCACGCGCACACACACACACACTGCCATACAGGGCTGAAAGAGCTCTACAGAAACTGTTACCAGGGACAAGGGATCACTGCTCATTATTGTGAGAACAGCGCTATGCAGCACACCAAGGTCAAAATACTTACATCACAATTTTATAAGGAACCCCAGTACTATCTCACAGAATCTGGGTTGAGAAACCCACCTGACACAGAATGACTCCTATGAGAGGTCATTTTCATTTGACTTGGATCCTTCCTGGATTTGACGGTGTGGTTCAGGTTTATCGCCTCCCTCACACTCCACTTGGGTCTCAGAGCTTGGTTTTGTCTCCCCCAGCTCCTCCTCATTATTCTGTGGCACCACCTGCTGGTTACTTTCCCCTTCTTTTGGGTCATTCTGATTTAATTTGTCATCAGTTTCCAATTTTGCTTCTTTCTCATTTCCCAGCTTTGAGGGAAGCTGTGATGGGTCTTTAGTAGTCTTCACCACCTCCTGAAGATTATATTTTCTGAACAATACGTAATCTTTCACAACACTCAGGCAACAGACAGCTTTGATGATTTCAACTACCACCGTGTATTGTGGATTGGTGAGATCCACTTTATTTTCTGAATTCAGACTGCCCACAATTCCTGTAGCAAAAAGAGAAACATTTAGGCTGAGGATACCATTAAGCTTGATGGATACAAAAAATTTTCATCTCTTCCTTTTTGGGATGTTAAAACAGAATATATATTGGTTCATTCTTCTTTGTGGACTTCAAAATTCCCAGAATCCTATTAAATAAATACAAATGAAATTCTGGGACATTTAAGAATACAGTTGGCCTGCCAAATCTATAGATCCCACACACAGATTCAACCAACTTTGAATCAAAATATTTGGGAAAAAAATTGTGTCTACACTAAATATATAGATTGTTTTCTTATTATTCCCTGAACTATATAGTATAACTATTTAGTGTATTAGGTATTCTGTATAACCTGGTAATGACTTAAAGTCTATGAGAAAGATGTGCATAGGTTATATGCAAATACTACACCATTTACAGAAGAAACCTGAGCATCCACAGATGCTGGTATAGTTAGGGGATCATGAAACTAATCTCTCATAGGTACTAAGAGATGACTTATTTTCCCAAAGCTTGACCAAAGACTGTACCAGAAAATCTCCTATCTACCATGTTGAAATCAGTTAGGTTTGGTACTTTAATATACTTGTATACTGAAAAGTATCCTTAAACATAAGTGCTTATCATTGCACACTTACATAAAATCACTAAGGGAAACACACCTGCCAATTCTTTGATAACTTCTTCTCTATTCATGTGGCTGTTATTTCGAGATTTGTAGACAATCTGAAATGTCCCTTTGTTTGGGGCTTTAAACCAGGGTTCCAAAAGTGTTTCTGCGTATTTTTTCATATCTTCTAAGAAAGCTTTGCATGTGCCTGAGATGGGTAACATTCGTAAAATAACTCGAGTCTTCTTTTTCTTAGTTTTATACACATCCTGGAGAATATGATGCACTAATTTCTCTGGTTCTATCCTAAGTGTCCTGATGAAGACTACATTATTTGCTCCACTCTCTACTGACTGGAATCTTCTTAGTCTTTTCTCTGTAGAAGCCTTAATGTCACCAACTTCCTTCTTCAAGGCAGCCTCCACATCATCTTCTCCCTCACTTCCAGAAAGCTGCTGATCCTTGTCTGTAAACTGTTTATATATAAAACCAATAAGCAGAAACGACACATCAGCTCATGCTTAAACACTGTAATTAACTACTGAGTGAAACCCCCAGTGGCAGTTGGCTCAATATTGACAATAAAGTTTTTTATTAAGAGATTGAGACAACACTCCCTCCAAAATGTGGAGGAAGAAGAGCTTCCTCAGGCTGTGGCTGGAGGCATCTTGACAGGAGAGGGAGGCACACAGGGAAATGTGCTCACCAGATGAAAGTCAGGGCACACCCCAACACCACCAACAGATATCTTTGTGCCTCACATGACTCTCTCCTTTTGTGAGATGAGAATCAAATACTTAACAGAATTAAAAACCCTTACTCCTGCTCTACTGAGGAACAGAACATGACGTTCAAGAACTTGCTCAAGGTCATACCACAGTGATATATGTATACTTGTTTACAGTAGCACAATTTATAACAGCTAAATCTTGGAAACAGCCCATATACCCATCAACAGATGAATGGATAAAGAAAATGTGGTACTGTATCTACATACAATGGAGTACTACTCAGCCATAAAGGATAAACTTGGGCCAGGGATTTAGCTTAGCGGTTCTGCCACCTGCATTGCAAGCACAAGGTCCTGAGTTGGATCCCCGGTACCAAAAAAAGGATAAACTTGAGTCATTTGTAGGAAAATGGACACACCTAGAGACCATAATGTAAAGTGAAATAAACAGGACAGACAAGTTTGAATATCACTGTTTCTCTTGTAAGAGAAACCCAAAGGGTAAAAAAAGAGCATAATGGAGGACAGATATTGGGAAGTAGGAAGAATATGTTCATATGGGAAGAGGAACATGGAGGGGGGAGGAGGAAGGAAAGTGAAAAGGAAAAAAAAAAGAATAGAAGGAAAAAATAGAAACAAAACTTTTGTAAGTGGGGAGGGGAAGAAGGATTAAAGGAAAGGAATGGGAAAAAAAGAAGACTCAAGATATATTATGAATAGGACACACATGTGTAAATACCAAATAGTTTCTCTGGTGTGAAAAGCTAAAAGTGTAAATAAGGATCAAAATGCACAACTGATATTGTGAAATAGGAAGATAAGGTCTAACGGGGTAGGGGAAGTGGGAGGGGTAGGAGAAAGGAAAGAAGGAAAAAGAAAAAAATATGAGAAAAAGAAAAAAATGGAAACAAAGTCTTTGTAAATAGGGAAGGGTGGAGGGGGTGAAGGGAGGGCAGGGGAATGGGGATAAAAATAAGAACCAAAATACTCATGTAAAAGTACAAGATCCCAATGATGACTGTAACTGTACTGTATACCTAAAATGTACCAGTAAACTTAATGGAAAAAATATATATACTATGTACAGGTACAAATTCCTTATGATGAATATGCTCAATGTAATGTATGAAAACACGTACTAATAAAAAACAGTTAAAAAAAAAACTCGTTTAAGGTATCAATGTAGATGGGATAGCTACCTGTTGTCCAGTTTTCTGACCTACCAATGGAGCTACCAACCAAGTACTAAGAATAACCGTGCACATTTAAGGAGCCTTTACCATGTACTATATTATGTATTTTTTTTTTTTAATCTATCTCAGCGGAATGAACTTGCTCATGCCAAAGTCCCACAGCCAGTAAATGATGGGACCCTCTGTACTCTCTCCTTCAATTAATTCCTCAGGGTATACATGTGTGTATGGTCCGGATTCTAAGGCAGTAACAGCATGATTTCCAAACCGTGACAGGACAATGAGATTTTAGGTAGTAATAGTACAAAAGTTTTTACTTTTTAAAATGTATTTTTATTTAAAATGAGGAAATGACTACTTCTGAGATATTACGGCTTACGGTAAACACATTACTACAGCCAAATTCAGAAGGTCGTCGCGAGAAGCAGATCTCCCGGCCCTCTGGAAGCATCAATGAATGAGCGCTAGCGTGATCAATTAAGAACCAGAACTTCAAGGCACAACAAGCGCAAGGGACCGCAGCCATCCCCGCGGGGGGGCAGGGGTAAGCCGAGGCCACGCCCCTGCCGCGCGCAAGCGCAGAAAACCAGTTGATCTTCCAGCGTCCCTCCTCCCTTTAAAGGCCTTCGGGCCGGCTTGCCTACGCCTGCACCAATACCTTTTCGGGCCCGTACAAGTCATCGCCGTATTCGTTGAGCAGGCTGTAGGCCTCCTCCACGCATTTGCGTTCGTTCATATTGCAGGTGATGAGGATCCCCTGCACCCCGGGTTCCAGCTGCCGCGGCCCACCCGCATCACAGCGCCGAGCCCGCTTGGCCTGCACGTACTGAGCCTTGCCTTTGCGCTTCCCGCCCCCGAGTTGAGGAGGCTGCTGGACTGGGGCCGCCATAGCACGCGAGAGCGGAGCCGAACGAGAAAAGTGTTTCTCCACGACTCTCGGCGTTGCCACCCGGGCGACGCGCGCTGATGACGTCAGACGCGCGTTCCCTCCCTACCCCGCCTCCGAGCCGCCTTACCTGCTGCGCCGGGTCCTAGAGCCGGTCCTCTGCCCATGGTAGAGAGGTGGTAGCAAGAGGCCACAATGTCCAAGTGAAAAGATGTTGGCTCGTTATAGGAAGAACCGTTTGGTACCTTGTGGAGCAGATGAAGATTCTCTCTTTTATTCTGATCCGCCTGTTCACGTATTTATAGGGGTTTATCAGCCTACAAGGGAGAAACTGTGTAAGTTAGTTTAGATTCTTTTTCTCTTCTTAACCTTCAAGGTTACTGCCACTTAAATTGTTCTTGTATTTTTGGTACAGAATCCACCTTGGCCCTGAACACAAATAGGAGACACTCCGATTCTCCTGTTTTGAACTTGCACTGTAGCCAGGATTTCCTGCCTTTTTCTTTTCCTACCCAGCATCTTCAGGGAATAGATGCCTGAATCCTGGGCTCCCTTGCAGGCTGGTAAACCCTCCTAAATGTACATGAAACAGGTGGATCAGAATAAAAGGGAGCATTTTCATCTGCTTCACAAGGTACCAAATCGTCTTTCCTATAACGCCAACATTTTTTTTCCTCACTTGATTCCTAATACCTTCTGCCTTCAGAGTTGGTATCTTGTTTGATTACAAACCTAGATCCACAGTCAAGCTAGGTTCAAATCTGGCATTTCCCTGCCCTGACTATGAGACTCTGAGGGAGTTGCCCAAGCCAAGTTTCAGTTTATTCATTATCTAAAAAATGTTAATGGATATATGTGTGTGTGCATATATATGAGTGAATAGGAAAATTCAGTGAGATCAAGCATGATAAGTGCTTAGGTCATGTTTACTGTTTGGCTCACGTGAAATTAAAAATAGCTGTTCTGGGGCTCAGTTATGACTCACAGAAACCTATTTTTGGAGGTACCAGATCACTGTCAATCTAAACCCCTAAGCTCATTGTCTGCCTCCTAATGTCTTATTTTAATGGTTCTTTTATATGTGTGATTGAAGGCTAAATTTAATGCTTTTAGGAAGGAGGCTAGAAGGGAAATAAATTTTAATAATCAAATAGTGTAAAAGAAAATAAGATAAAATACATAATACCTGCATGCCTAACCTCTGCCAACTTACTGTCTTACATCTGATTGAATGACTTCCCAAGTCTTTCATTGGCTATGAAGCTTGACTGACAGCGCTTGTCACACTTATACTTTCATCACACTCACGAGCTGTGTAAAAAACTCAACTAACAGCCTGACCTCTCAGGTTGGAACCTGACTTTGAACCCATGTGGACCTGGGGCTCTCCCTGGAGACCAGGGGCTGTCACACTTGCCCTGGCCTTTGTGCACCTACATGCACCCTATTTGGGTCCACTGGCTGTGCTGAAATTCTCACCCCTGTCGCTGCAAATTTATTTCATCCCAGCATCAATGGAATTCCAGTTTTGACAGGTGTGCCTCTCTAAAGCCAACACTGCATTCTGTGGGTCTAGGTTCTTGAAGGCAAAGCAAATTGAATCTCTATCTCCTATTTTAAACTCTCTACAGGCATGAGTCTTTCTCCTCAAAACCTTTTCTTGTGTTTTATGGGTACTTCCCACTCCTTTGAGATTTGGTTAAATAACGTCTTTAAATTTAATTGCTTTATTTAGTTCTACTTCTTTGAGTACTGCTAGATCATACTCCTGCTTCTACCTCAGTGCTCCAAGGAATGAATCTCCAGTGGTAGACCCTCAAACAGTTTGATAATTTAGAGACATACTTCCACTTAAAATTCACATCATACTATGTACTATATAATCCCGCAATACATAACACCAGTCTTGGATAAACACTAATGTAATACTCATAAATATCAGAGTAGATAAAATATGTGTTTAAGAGTCCGTGTTGATTGGAATTTTGACACTCTTTTGGCACAGATGAAGCCTAAATAGGAATGATTTACATAAGTATTCAGGTTGAAGAATTCATATTTAAAGTAAAAACCAGAGGAAAGCCAATGAATTCAATACAGCATTCAATGTATAGATAAACAGAAGGACAAATTGATTAAGAACATACTTGAGCCAGACAGTCCTAGGTTTAAATTCTGAGTTCACCATTTTTCTAGCTCTGGTGATCTTGGTTGGGTAAGTTAACCATTCTAACCCTCATTCTCCTCATCTGTAAAATGGGAATAGCCATAATATGTACCTTATAGATCATTGTGAATGTTGCATAAAATAATTTGTCTCAGCCAGGTGTGGTGGCATACACCTGTAATACCAGCACTCTGGTAGGCTGAGGCAGGAGGATTGCAAGTTTGAGCCCAGCCTAGACAACTTAGTGAGACCTTATCTCAAAAATGAAAAAAGGGCTGGGGATGTAGCTCAGTGTGAAAGCCCTGGGTTCAATTTCCAGTACAACAAAAAATAATGTCAATCACACATACAAATATTCAATAAATTTTAGCTGCTGTTAATGTAAATGTTAATAACTGGAAAGTTGGGTGAGTATAATTTTTATTTTAAAAAGTTGAGGTTAAGACCCAAGCTTTTTATGTTGGTCAGTTTGCTTTGATATATGTCTAGCTACTCCTGTTCTTCAGTATCCAGGAAATACTTTATTGTATCCAAATGTATTAACATTGAATGATTTACAAGATGTATTGTAGGTTTTTTTTTTTTTTGGTACCAGGGATCGAACTTGGGTCCTTGTGCTTGCAAGGCAAATGATGGAACCACTGAGCTAAATCCCTGGCCCTGCAAGATGTATTGTAAAACCGGGTGGCAGATCTAAGTGAGAACCAAATCAGGTTTTAATAATGAATATATATGTGCATATATATAATACACATGCACACAAGTATGCATATATTTTAATCGTATACCTATTATAAATGATGAGTAAGACTTCTGTTTTTCCGTACTTCTCAGCTAAAGACCCAAGCCAAAGATTATGAGGTACTAAGTCCTTGCCCTTGACAATCCTAAAGACAGCTGTCAACACAGACTAAGAGAAGCAACTAAGTTTGCAAAAAGGTGACTCAACTGTCCCTGCTACTCAGTTCCATGGCCACAACCCCGTGCTTCTCAGCTTACTTAAGAAACCTGGGGAGTGAAAAGAAGGGAGTGTTCTAACACCTTGTGCTGAGAGGGACACCAAGAGGCTCCCTCATAAAAGTTACAGAGATTGGCTTTATACCTTGATTGTGATCCCCGTGTCCTGTAAAGTACAACAGAGGAGAGGCCTCCAGCCCATGTAGGGAATTTCCAGAAATGTGTGACCCTCTGGTGCCTCACAGACCCCCACAGACAGCTGGGGTTGCACAGGTAGAAACCACAGACAGAGGATTCAGTGTAGGAAGCACACTTACCCTAATCTTTTTGGCTTACCCTCAACAATGGAGGATCTGGCTCTTGAAGGAAGAGGGGAAGGTGTCTGAGAGACAGATAAAGTCTCCTGATTGCATTCTAGGTACTAGAATGGGAGGGGCAGAAAGGTAGACAATGCCCCTGTGCCACTGTAGGTCTCCAGAAGCACAGGTTAGGTTTATGCTGAGGAGAGGGGAGCATGTGCCATGGACACTGAATTTGAGATTAAAATGTTTGAGTGGACCAACCTTTTTTTGTGGCTTGTTTGTTGTTTTTTTGAGACAGGGTCTCACAATGTGGTTCAGGCTGGTCTTGAACTCACTATGTAGCTCAGGCTGGCCCCAAACTCATGGTGACGCTCCTGCCTCAGCGTCTCGAGTGCTGGGACTACAGGTGTGCACTATTAAATGCACAAACTTGAGTAGGCAAACTTGAAAATGGTTGGGAAGGTGTGGGACATACCAAGAGTTGATGAAGGGATTGAAAAGGAATAGTAGGTACAGCAAGGAAAATTAGAAATTGGAAAAACCCCTAAGTTTTGAGTTAAAACTTGTTTGAAAAACTAGCTACATCTGCAGCCCTTTTTTTATTTGAGACAAAATCTTGCTAATTCACTACTTAAGTTGCCTAGGCTGGGCTTCAGTTTGTGAGCCTTTTCACTCAGCCTCCCAGAGTACTGGGATTATAGGCATGTAACACCATGCCTGGTTCACTCTTTTTTTTTTTTTTTCTTTTTTTCTTTTTTTGGTACCAGGCATCAGACTCAATACCCGGCCCTCACTCTTATTTTGATACAGGGTCTTGCTGTGTAGACCAGACTGACTGTGTGATCCCCTTGCCACAGCTTTGCAAGTGGCTGGGATTACAGATGTGTGCCACCATACTGGGTGGCATTTCTCATTTTTTCCTGGGTCCACAGCTAAGCTAATTTCTTAAGACTCCTTGAAGTGAAGCCATGAAAATGAAGGTAAGGGTCATACATGTTCTTCCAGGACTAAATTCATGAGCTCCTTCAAAAACTCTCAATTTCTCTCAATCTCTCTCTGTCTCTCAATTTCTCTCTCCCTCCCTTCCTCCCTTCTCCCTCCTCTCTTTCTCCTCTTTTTCTGTTCACTGACAGATTTCAGAGGATCCAACCAGGACTCTTAAGAAGCCTAGCAGATAGTGAAGCCTATGAATATAGAGATCCTGACTCACTACTTGGAGAGCAACCCAGGAAAGACCAGCAAGCAGGAATGTTTGAACTTTAGATTTGTTTGTTTCTGCAGCCTAGTGTGGGACAATTTGGCAAATACACTGGGAATTTAGAGTTTGTTCAGAATGTCTTTACTATTTTTATTAGAACCTTATTTTCCATAGAGATTATGAACACTGTCATTTAGATAAATTAAGAGACCAGGAGGCATCATAATGTGGCAGAGAGTTTTGCAATCAGATCTTAGTAGTCCAGTTCTGTTACTTTCTTTGTGGAATCAGTGGCAAATCTTGGACCAGTGGCCAGACTGCTGTTTTCCTTCCAGAGCACCATGAAATACTTCTCTCTCCTTACAAAATGTATGTGAAA